ATTTTGTCCCTATTTATTAGTGACATTTTTAAAATTTTGTTGCTAAAAGCCTTGTTTTTACATTTCGAGACGACCTTTTAGCGACTATTGTCACGACGATAAAAATTGATTCCTAAATATATTTTGTAACAAAATTTTGACTTTTAAAAACTAAAAAATTTAGCCACTAAAACTCTTATATGTTGTAACATATACCAATGTCTACAACTCAATGCCTAAGCTAACAAAAACAACTAAATGGGGAAGCGTGTAAACAAGCTGTAATAACTCTAAATGGGTAAAAAAATGTTTAAGAAGTTGCTTTCAAATAAACAAATGTACTTTTGATCCATTGCTGTAATGTATACTTGTGCCAAAAAATTACTAAAATAGCATGTTCCAAACAAGGCCTTTATACTTGTGTATCCATATCAGGTGGCTTAAACATGAACTCATACATAATATAAAATTTATTTATAGTTCTATTCAACTGAATCTAGGAAGTTCTTCAGTAATACCTTGCATTGTTAGGGAGCTAAGATCATTAAATCTTAAATCCAACGTCTCCAAGTTTTTCAACACCGTTAATTCTACACTGAAACAATTCTCATGAAGATACGAATAAGAAGGATGGATAATATATTCTCTTTGGGAGTTCTCATAAAGATAGACATGCCTCGGGCAGGAAAGGGATCTCCCAAGTTGTTGCCATGAAGAGAAAGGTTTTTGAGAGATATCAATGAACTCAAACATAGAATGATGCTTTTGTTGAAATTGTTATCCTCAAGATATAACGTCTCTTGCTTTTCCAATCTTGATAAGCTCTCTTTTACTTTCTTTTTTATCAGCAAAAGAAAAGAAAACTTTAATGGGTAACCAAGGTAACCAAGTGGAGGCTGGAGGCTGGAACCCAGTGTTCCGAAAAAGACAGATGGGTAACCAAGGTAACAGATCAGTGGAGAAGGGGTTGTACACCATCTTTGTGGATGAGCTTCCAGACTCAATGACTCCTAGGAGCCTGTTCACTCTGTTTAATAATTTTGGAGTAGTCAAGGATGCTTTCATCCCAGCAAAAAGAAGGAAAGCAACGGGATCTAGGTTTGGTTTTGTGAGATACGATTGCAATGTTGCTGCTGAAATGGCGGTGCTGAAGACGGATGGCCTGTGGTGTGACAACAAGGCATTGAAAGTGAAAGAGGCAGAGTTCAAAAAAGGTGAGATCAAGCGACCTGCAATGGTAACCAGAGGAAACGATCGGATGATGCAGCGTCAACAGAGGGGTCTCGTGCAACAAGGGCTGGAAAGTGTAGGCAGAAGATCCTTTGCAGAAGTAGTACAGAATGGAGGTAGTGCTGGAAAGGCAAAACGTACTGTCAAAGCATATGAAACTGGAAATGGGTGGCTTTATGACAGTATAATAGTCAAACTCAAATCTATTCTATCATTCAATGAGTTTAAGGAGGAGGTTGCTAGAAGAGGTGCAAAGGATGTAACAGTTAGAGCTGGGGGAGGAAGGCTAGCTGTGATAACCTTCAGTTCACAACAACACAAAAAGGAAGCAAGGCAAAAGATTGAAAAGTGGTTGGTTCACTGGTGCGATTTTGCTACAGATTGGGAGAAAGGAATTTACATTGCACAAGAAAGATGTGTGTGGATAACATGTGCAGGTGTTCCATTCAACTTGTGGAATGTTACTACATTCAGTGACATAGGCAAGGTGTGGGGTGAGGTTGTTCAGATAGGTGAAGATATTCTCAGTCAGAGTTCGTTTCAGAGTGGGAAGGTAAGAATAATCACCAATCGACTGGAGTTCATAAATGAGGTGATCAATGTCGAATGTAATGGAAATATTTTCCCAGTTAGAGTGTGTGAAGAACTCCCAGCAGCAGTACAACCATGCCATTGCAATAGCTTTTGCTTCGACAATGTGGGCACTGAATCTATGGGTCAAGAGGAAGTAGATCAGCTGTCAAAAAATGGTGGAGAGGACATGGTGGGGAGAGTTTTAGGGGCAAAAGAGAAGAGTAATGAGTGGCTCTCTGCATCAGCCGTAAAAGAAACTGGGGGTGCCATGGGGACTCTGAATGTCAGCGAGGTAGGTAGGGAGGCTAACCAGGTGCATGTGGTAATTCCAAGAAATGAAATTCAAATTGTTGATGGGCCTATATGCAACCCTGAGAAAATCCCAAGCTCTAGTGGACCTGAGAGTCCAAGGCCCAAGGTAAACTTAGAGGTAATTTTGAAAGTTCCTCAGGCTGGGGTATTGGCAGATGGGCCCATAACAGAACCCTCAAATCTAAGTGATTGTATAGCCCAAACTCATTTTAGGCCTCATGATCTGCTTCCAGCCGCAGGAAAAGTGATAGAAATAGGAACAACATCAAGGAAGGGGCAGAGTACAAAACCAGAAATGAGCAGTAGAAAGAAGAAATGAGCTGACCTGACGAAGCAGACCAAGAACAAGGGAGCACTGACCAGCACCTGTTTTCGCAAAGGAGCTATTTTTATAGCAGCAGCAGCTGCACTATCATTGTCAGTTGAGCAGAGTCTTAACTCAAGGAGAAGGCATAAGTTCCTAAGTGAAGCCCAAGCTACTATGGAAGTTGGCAAAATACTAGGCTTGAATTGTGAAGGTAAAGATCAGGAGGTGATTAGCAAATTAATTGGTACGCCTTACCATTGAGGCTGATTAGATTTTTTGAGGTCCAGGAGGTACCCTCTGATTGCTTAGATTTTACACTTTATTAGAATAGAAATAGAATCATTAAAAGAATAAGAATGGAACGATAAATATTATACGAGATTATTTGATGTTGATTGAATACTATCATTTTATGGTAAACCCTCAGTTAGGAGCAACAACTAGTCCAGAATGAATGGTAGGAGTTTTTAAAATTTTGAGGACAAATATGCATATGATGGGGCAATAAGAATTAAGATGTCACCAAAAATCTATCTTTTGACCCTATACAGAAGAACTTGTATAATAAGTTTGCACCAATATCTGGCATAGATAGTGAAAACTGTACTTCATTTTTTCCACACACCAATTTTAACTCTTCTGAGACTCATCGTAAAATGGGCTAAGAAAAGAAAAATTAAAGTTAAGCATGTACTGTTTCTAAATATCAGCAAAAACTATCGCACTCGTACCTCTTCGGTTAAGAGAAAGTTGGTACACTTCCATTCTAGTGAGCACTCTTTAATGATAGAAACACTTTAGGAATCGGAATGAGCACCCAACAATTATGAAGGCATCCTGTCACTATATGATTACCAATCTCTTAGTCGAAAGATGTCTCATACTTTGTCGCTCAGATTCCATGATATTATGTTTTATATAACTAATTAGCATAATGACGAGATCGAGATCCAAAAGAAATAGTAGCATTATAAAGGAGTCAACCCGCAAAGTATACCATAAGTGACCCACATGGCTAGCCAACGAGGTCACTTACTGCTTGGCCTTTTTACTAGGTAATTAGTACAGTACTGCTCAGTGCTAAAATATGAGCTTGTTGCCACGAGCCCCTCGGTCCGCCTTACTTTCCTCTGGCCACAAACAAGGTAATTTCAGGCCGTAAAACCACAAACTGCTAGCTTAGTCATTTTAATTAAAGGAATCAATACACTGCCCCATTTTTTCAACTCGGGAATTAACTTGCTAATGTAATAAAAACCAGACATATGTACGACAATTTCTTTCATAGTAACATCTAACGTATCTTAAATCATATTTTCAATTGTAGAAAATCAATAGGTAAGTTGAAGAGGAGATAAAAACATAGAACTAAATTTTGAACAACAGAAGTTTTTAGAGCTAGAAGTACTACTAACAACTATTTCCCAGCCTTCTATTTCTTTTTCTTGTATATTGGCTTTCCTTTTTGGGATTTTTTTTATTTATTTAAATATTGAAATCAAGAGCTCAATCATTGAACAACAACCACATTTTTTTTTGATATTGTACCACATAGTATTTTTGTGGTGCTATATTGAAGAACAGTTAGAAAATCCTATGATCCTTGAACTGTTACTAAGAGTCGGGAAAAGGGGTCAGAGCTAATGACTATGAAATATGCTGAAAGTATAACACCCTATCATGTAGGATTATTTTATCATTTTATTGTTCGAGATTTCGTATAAGTATACAGATTAAATTAGTTGGGATTTTTCATGCACATTTGTTGGGTTGTTCTGTTAATGAACACTAAGTGTCAATCCGATTGGCTAATCACCAGTAGTTCAATATTGGAGGACATGAAGAAGACGAATGTGTGTGCTGATCGATATGTTGGAGCTATGAAGGTTAATGTTAGACGAGTGTGTTCTTAGTATTCGCGCTGGTGTTGGTTGTTGATGACTGGAGGATAATGCAATAAGTCTGATTTGGCGTTTTTTGTGTTTGACTTGATTGGTGTATGTGTTTGCTTCCTTATTAGAGGTGTTGAGGGTAAGCTCTAGCATATGAATGAGGCTTATGTGGTGCGTGTCATTGGCTCTCGATACTCTACGCTAGTTTGGCAATGATTATAGTCTACAAGCCTATGTGTGTTAAAGCTGTTTTTGGTTGTCGCCTATAATTGATGTGAAATTTGTCTGCTACAGATTGAAGATTGTGTGGATCAGTTGTTACATTCCTTTCATCAAGTATATTGAATAAAGCTTCCCTTAAGTGTTTGCGCCGGAATGAGAAAATAAAAGAAAAAGTAGACAACTGAAAAAGAGATGTAGATGTTAAGACTTAAGATGCGAAAGAATATAGAATGTCTGGAGAAATCCCACTATGTGACTCTAAGGATACCTTATGAATGCACTTGTTCGCAATAGCTTCCTTTGAGTCAATCCTCTTCGCTTCAATTGATTCATACCGGCACTTAATTACTCGTTTATGTATAACTTGTTGGTATTAAATTGTCTCACAAGATTGCCGCATATCTTTTGAAGGGTATAGGAGTAGTTATACTTTCTCTGAAAGATGAATGCTAGGGGCAGGAGTCAGGAGACAGATGATGTAGTTATACAAAAAGAGAACGGCATATTCTTGTGTTTTTAAAAAAATGTTTTGAGCTATTTTTTTTGCCCAGGTCGAGTTTTTAATGCGAACACCCGACGTCGGTATTTTGGGATTTGATGGGGCGATCTCCTCTCCAAGAGACAGTTTATTGTTTTTCTTTTGTTGAGAGTAACAGAGACGATTATGAATATCATCATATTACGAAATTATTCCTGCCCCATTAGCTGCTAATCTGTGGGCATTAGATGTGACAGATATTTTAGGTCCAATACCGACAGCCAAACTCCACTAATCTTTTGGGGACGACCAAATTTAACACCACTTCTATATATATTATAAATGGACAAAGAACAGCAGATATTACCATTCAGGTTAATGCCTGATATCAATATCTATTCAAATTACGTGGTTATAAGGTTTGGCATTTATTATTGTCTGCTGGGTATTAAATATATCGCGTAATTGTAGCAATTTCGGCGCTCTTATGCATGGGAATAAAGGTATTGGTTAGAATTGGTATCATCAACATAATGTAGTCGATTTTGTGTGGTACTAATTCAATTATGGTTTTGTCTCTTTATTGTGTTTCTGACATGAAATGTAACCCCTTTTTCTTGTTTAACTATAATTTAAGTAGTTGAAGTACAAAGCGTAATATTAAGAGCTCTCTCTGAATATTGAGACACAACAAAACCATCACTAGCATACAACACACAAAATTAATGGTTTTAGTACGAGCGCGCACTAAAATAAAACGGATACAATTTAATTTATGTGTCGCTATAGAGACGTTAAACTATTTTTGTTGAGAGTCGAAGTCAGTTGGTCATATTGGATATTCGGCCTATATAAAGAAATACGAATAGAGAGATTTGCATCTATATGATGAATTATTCAGTCCTTTTGACTAAATTAATATTTTGGGTCGGCAAAAAATGTACTATTTTTTGTCTGCATATAGACAGATACCACCATTAATTGTCATTAATTTATGCTTTTGTACGGTTTCAGAAACTTAATTGTATCGTAGAGTAACGCCAAAAATGAGCTGGTATATATTTCTTTTGTAAGATTTGTTCGAGACGACATTTATTACAGCGACATAATATTGTCAACGATGGACGTATAGAAAATTTGATATGCACACTAAATATAGTTTTTAGTGACAAATTATTATTTTGTGGTTGAAAAGAAACTAAAAAAATTTTTTGTGACACACAAACTAAATATATTCTTAGAGACTATTGTAAACAATACTTATAACCCCAAGTCTATCTAACTCAATGTCTTAAAGGCTAAGCAAATAAAGCCTAACTAATGGCGGGACGGGATGCGTGTAGATGACAGAAGCTTTGTTAGCGATATTCACGCTGAAATGGTGTTTGAATAAAAATGTTTAAGGAAGTTGGTCTTCTCAAGTACCACCAGCAAACTGTTTTTGATCCATATGCTGTAGCGATGTATTATCTTGGTGAAATAAAATAAAGTACTCAAAATCAGACACATGTACTTCCACAACAAAGGCTTGACATACTCCTGTGCTCAATACGATATCAGGTGGCGCGTTATTAACTCGGAGCTCATTTCATATGATGTATAAGATAAGAGTATTTAATTTGTCCCATAGTTGTGTCTGCAAGTTCAGTCTGAATTCTAGGACGTTTTCGTCAGTGTATGATTCTTTGCAAGATTTACGGTTTTCTTTGTAGACTTAAAATAGATATCATATAAATATTTTCTTAATATCCTTGAGACACGTGCTTCAAGTTTTTTTCAATTCTATCTCGTTCACATTCTACACTACTTGAAATCTGATTTATACTAATTGATGATTAATCGATTTAAAGAGGGGAGTGTGATATTAATTATTTTATCTTCTCTTTGGAGTTTTCTCATAAAGATCACAGATCATGTCTTCTCTGTAGGCACAGAAAAGGTGGATCCTCTCCCAAGTTGTTTCGAAAATGATATAAATAAAGATGAATAGAGATTGATTATATGTAGAAGAATAAATTATAATGAACTCAAACAATAACGAAAATGATGATTTTTAGTTGAATACTTTTGGTATTCATACACCACACACTCAAATCATGATATAACGTTACATCATAGCACTTTCTTTAACACTCACACTCACTTTCGATACAGCAATAACTTTCTTCACACTAATTCTATTTGTATATTAAAGTCAAAGAAAAGAAAACTCTAATAGGTGTTAACCGCAAGGTAACCCCACAGTAGTGAGGACATATGAAGAAGGTCAACATGGAACCCAGTTGTCTCCCGCACAAAAGATACGATGGCGCTATACAAGGCGTAACAGATCAGTCATCAATGGAGACAATGTTCCGCGTGCTCTGCTCAACTACTCCTATCTTTGTGTGATTGAGCATCTACCTATGCACTACATTGAT